TATTAAACATAAATTAATTTTATAATTAAAAATTATACAAAAAACAAGAACTATTAAATTTTAGAAGATTTTATTTTCTCTCTAAAAAAAATACAATGTTTTTATTTCGCACATACTATAAATACTCATTAATAAGATAAAATTAGAAGATTTAACAATAAGGGGCTGTTTGTTTTTAATAAAAAAGCTTTTAATGTCCTCTTAAGTCTGAATTGGTCAGACATAAGATGATTCAGTGTGTTTGTTTTTTTTCAATTAAGAGCCTAAAAGCTCTTATTAGGTCCGAAAATTTAAGTGGTTGCGAAACCTCTTATTACCTCTTATTTCAAATCGTCGCCTACCTACTCTAATCTCTTTGCGCTCGATATCTCTAGATCAACTCTTCTGTCTCGATCTCTCATCTCTCAACTTTGTCAACTGTCGATCCATATCAACTCTCGATCTCTCGTCTTCAAACTTCAGATTTCAGACGCAAAAAACAAACAGTCTGACTGATTCAGATTTCAGACTTCAGCACAACCTCTTAAAAATCAGAAGTGAATTCAGATTTCAGACTTCAGACAACCTCTTAAAAATCAGAAGTGAATTCAGACTTCAGTACCTCTTAAAAAACAAACGCCACATAAGTAATTTTATCGAGATAAAACAAAGTCTAAGTTTGTTTTGACGTGGCCCATTATTTTTTTTATTCTAATATTCCATATAAGCATGTTTTTTTTTAGATTTAACATGATTCATAATTATTTCACCTTTTTTGTCCCCATACGGACAAAAATAGTGACTAAAACACAAAGAAAAAAGAACGAAGAGGATGAGGTTCTTGACAAACATGACGGAGATGTAAAGTTGTGTATTGGGTGTCGTGATTAGAGGAGCAAAATCACAATCTTTAACACCATAACCTACGGTTATTTTCCCCACTACAAACTCAAGAGGAAATCATTATGGTGTGGTATTACAACAACTAGAGTTCAACAAGACGACAACTATATCAAACAAGCAACACACGTATATGAAAATCTATTTATTAGTTCTATAAATCTTAGTTGATGGTTCTTTGTTGTTGCACAAATCCAACAACTCTTAAGAGGGATCTAATCACAAGATGATTCTCTGATGTGTTATTAATACGTGAATCCTTCTTTATTCTTCACTTCAACCGATGATTCAACCCTCAACCAACAATTGATTCTAACCCTCTCTGTATGTATGTACTCATTGTATCCCCTGTCTTAAGGTTGTCTATCTGCAACTGGAATCCCCCATAAAATTAGTAGGTTACTGGTAAAAATTAGTACAGAATAAAAAATATAGGAAGTTTGCTGTATCAATTGAAAAAAAAAATCATTAAACGACATATTAAACTTTTTTCGTGGTCAAAATACAAATAGGTAACTTGTTATGATCAAAGTATAAAAATAGAACTTTGAAAAAAATAAGGTAAGAATGGATGGCAAACGTCGTTGGTGGAGGGAAAGACACAATTGGGCAAGGGTGGGGGTCGACGTTGGTTGTCAAGTCGATACATCCGTATGATTTCTATTGCACAAGTTGTTTATGTATTAATTAAGGGGATTATTATTTATACTCAATCCTCATTCATATACCACCTTATTTCTTACTCTCTATGAAATGAATATAAATAAAATATACCTTTTATTTGTTTTGTCTTATAAAAGTTGTTCTTTACGCTTTGAATTAATTTTCATTTAATATGTTAATATTACATTAAAGAACACAAAGTTTATTTTATTTTATTCTTGTAAAATAGGAGTATTTTCGTTTGAACCTTCACACACACACACACAGATATATATATATATATATATATATACATATATACATATATATGTGTGTGTGTGTGGGTGGGGTCGAATTTTGGACTTTTGCAAACCGTAGAGCCTTCCAACATCATTATCCTTGCCATTATCAACAAGTAGTTTTTAAATATTTAGAGTAAACTACTATTTTTGTCGTTGTGATTTGTGAAAGATTGCAAATTTCATCTTGTAGTTTATAATTTGTCGTTATTTTATCTTTGAGATTAAATTTATTAAAAATCTTCCATTCAACTTAAGGATACTTTAATCTTTTTGATTTTTTTTTGTTTTGGTTTATTGAATACTTTTTTTTGGGTATTGTAGTCTTTTTGATGTAATTAAACTATATATTTTGATAAAAGAATTAATACATAATTTTTTTTGGTTATTTATGATAAAATAATAAAATGTTTTTCATACAATTCGTTGTTTCATATTTTTGGTCATTATAGTTTTACTTTCTTATTAGTTCGGATTTTGTCACTAACGTTATTCAAGCAGTTGAGTACCCCTCACATGATAGTATTTTTTTTTAAAAGTTCTTCATTAAGACTAAATGATCAAATTTTTTATAGGACAAACAGTTAACTATATTACGCTAATTTTACTAAATAAATGTATGTAATTATATTAATAGAACATATAACTTAATAATTTTATCATAACATATTTTATAGAAGGCATATATTTTTTCGGGTATAATTGAAAGACATATGAGACCAGACAATTGTACGTTATATTAATAAAGTTACATACATTTGTTTGATAATAATAATACCCTAAAAATAGTTAATTGTTTGTTCTTATAAATATTACAATCAATTGGTCTTTAAATTAAAAATACTTTTATGTGAAGAGGTTCAATAGTTTGCACTTAAATAATGTTAGTAGCAAAAATCGAATTCATAAGAAAAATAAAAATATAATGCCCAAAAAATAAAAATAAGAAACTAATTATATTTAAAAAATATTTAATAATTTAATCATAATCAAGGAGTTTTAACATATTTAGTCCCAGATACAAAAACTGTAACAAATTACAAACTATAGAGATGTAAATCACGATTTTCAAACCACAGGGACGAGTATTACATCTGCTTGTTCAGTTAAATCTATAGCCTTTTTTATTACTTGGTGAAAAGAAACTCTTTCTTAAACCATATGAACAAAATCATGGTTTACTTAAAATATTTAATTATCATTAAATTAAAATTTAAAAGATTTATGAATTTATTTAAGAAATATTGAAATCGGAGATATTTATGTTAGAATTTAACATTTTAACAATTTGATTGGAGAAAGGGTCGGAGAGTAGTTGGAAGGAGAATAAATATGCGGGTCCCACAAAAAAGACAGCCACCAATACATCCGGGCCCATCCCTTCAGATTCGTTCAATCAAAAAAGCTCTTTCTTGTCGTTTCTAGAATCCATTAAATTGTTTTTTTAATATTTCAGAAATTCCTAAATATTAAAAAAAGTATCTGACAGTTGTCGAATGATTTGGTGTAAAAAAATTAAGAGATTTTTATAATATAGTGTAAAATAAAATTAGTTTGGTAATTATTGAAAATAATTAGGGTGTTAAACGGTTAAGGAAGACCTAAAAGATTAAATCATTCAGAGGGTTTTAAAACCATTAAGAAATAAACTTTTTTTTTTTGACAAACAAAATTCACCTTTTAGCAATTCAAAAACTATCTTTTAATGAAACTATTAAAAGATAAACGAACAATTAGATAATAAAATAATAAAATTTAAATATAATACTAAAATTTTAAATCTAAAAAAGGGTATAATTTGGAATAGTTACTTTATATTAAAATATATTATTACAATTCAAGTATTGAATTTGCAAACAAGAAAAATATTTAAATTATTTAAAAAAAATATAAAACAATAACGGGATAAGGATATGTCCAAAACGCCCCTTTTCGGCATTAATAACGGGTGGAGCCCAAGCCATGTTCCTCCACTCACTCCACAAGTGGTCTTATTTCATTTCCCTTTCTCCCTCCCGTCCCAATAAACCAATTTATAAAACCGTCTTGAAAATTTGACGTATTTTGAATA